CTATGTGAGGAAGCCTAAAATTACGGGGTTCAGAGAGCTTCCAGGTTGTGAACACGTGGGGATGCGGGAGGAGTGGCATGCCTGGAGGGAACATGGAAGCTCCTTGCCCCTTCCCACATCCTTGCTTCAGCAGCTCTTCATCTGGCTTTTCTTAAGTTACATCCATCTACAATAAACTGATGATCTATTAAGTAAAATGATTTTCTAAGTTCTGTGAACTGCTCTAGCAAATTAATCAAATCCAAGGAGGGGGTCATGGAAACCTTTGATTTACAGCTGATCAGTTAGAAGTACAATTGACATCCTGGACTTGGCTATTGGCATCCTGAGTTGTTGAAACTTCCCATCTATAGCCAGTAGGTGGGAAATACAGGTAGCTTGTGCCTGGCGTCTGAAGTAGGATGTGGAGGGCAGTCTTGCAGGAATGAAACCTTACCCTGTGGAATCTGATGCTGTCTCAAGGTAGATAGTGTCAGAACTGAGTTGAATTTTTAGACACTGTTGGAGTCTGAGAATTGTTTGTTATATGTGTGGGGACCCTTCCTCTCTCCCAATGTTCAAATTAAGCCTCAGAAAACTGAAAGATATGTTTCTTTACTCACTGTATGTTTTTGTGATTTGCCCAAGTTATGTGTGGACCTATGGTTCATTTGCATTCTCTACTTTATTGTTTTAATATACCAAGACTAATATATCTTTCCTACTATTCATGGAAGCATTGTCTTTTTCCCAGGCAGCAATGCTGCTAATTATACACCCATGCCACCTACTGCAGGCGTTTAAGATTTCATTAAGGATCTATATGGAAAATAGACTTTCCAGGTAATAGGGAAGGCGCATATTGACTTTTACTAGGTAATGGCAAACTGTTTTCTGAAATGTTTGTAACTGTTTATATTCCCACCAGCAGTGAGGAGCTCTCCCATTCCTGTACATCTCCATCAACACTGGGTAGCATCCAGTTTTATCATCTTGGTAAAGCTGGTAAGAGCAACAGAGTGCTCAGTCTTATACTGGTCTGAAACCAGGTTCCCTACTTAATACTAAGTCTGATAGTTTCCTTTATGTTTATGGGTCATGTGTATTTGCTCTTCTGCAAGATGCCTGTTTATGTCTTTCATCCATTTTTCTTTTGGGCTTTCTTTCCTAACTGATTTGTCGAAGTTCTTTATATATATTTGAATATAAGCCCTTTGTCAGATTATGTATTACAAATATGTTCTCCGAACTTGTATTGCCCTTTGATTTCCTTAATGGTGTTTTCTGATGAATAGAATTTCTTAATTTCCCTTAAGTTGTTTAAATTTTTGCATCTTGTTTAAGAAATCTTTTCCTCTGAGATCATGGAAATATTTCTCTTCCATTTTCATTTAAAGGTTTGGGGGTTTTTTTTCGTGTCTTTTCCAAGGTCTTCATTTAACTGAATTTTGTTTTGTTTCTTAGGTATGAAGTAGAGATCCATTTCTTTTTTTTCTATATAAATAGCCAATTTTCTTCATATCACTGATTAAAAGATGAACTGTCACCTTTCCCCACTGATCCACAATGTCAACTCTGTCCTACATTTAATTTCCTTTTAAAAGGAAAATATCTGCTCAGGGGTTTTAGATTCTGTCTCATTGGTCTGTCATCCTATTCACTGTCCATCCCACGTTGTTTTAATCACTATAACTTGATAGTTAGTCTTGATTTCTGGCAGGGCATGTCCCTTTCTTATTCCTTCTTCCTCATAAATGGGTTACTTCTTCTTGACTTGTGTATTTTCTAATGAAACTCATTTTAATTTATTACTTTTCTATGCCCAACTAAGTTTTAGAATAAATATTTGTTAAAATGTCTGATAGGAGGTACTCAATAAATTTGTATTCATTTTTCTCACATCTTCCACAAAAGTCAAATTGTGATCCTTGAATAAACAAATTAGAACCTCAGATAATAATATAAATTTTGCTGAGAAGTCAGAATAATGTTCCAGGGGACCATTTAAAGCCTCTTTTGCCCGCACATTTACCAAAGCCCCCTTGAGCTCCATGAGTCTTTTTTACATTCATCACAAATTACATTGGAATTAAGTTTAAGAGAATGTTACCACATTTTCTTATAAATGGTAGCAACATAAAGGGATAACAAGAAACATCACAAGTGCTGTGGGTTTTAAAACTGATTTTGTTTTCATTTTGGTTTTTATGGCACTATACATAGCTAATTAAATTTGAGAAAAAAATTCCCTTTAATTTGATGACGTGATCTCACAAATTCCCTTTCTTTTTTTTCAGTTATTCTTTTTTACCCATTTATCCCACCTAACCCCCACCATCATCTCTGACAACAACCAATCTGTTCTCTGTATCGATAAGCTTGGGATTTTTCTGTTTTTTGTTTTTGTTTTGTTTTGTTTTAGTTTTCACATATAAAAAAGATCATACCATATTTAAATGTCCATATTACAACTAATTTTATAAACCATCTTCAAATTAAATACTATTTTCCTAGGCTGAATTTAATACAAAATTGAATTTAATCCAAAAATATGCTCATTTTATTTATGATACCTATTTTGGTTAAACAATATTGCAAACGAATTTCTTTAGGGAGCACACCTGATGTGAATTAGGCATCAGGGTAAGTAAAAAGATCAGTGATTTGAATATCAAGTAAAGTAAGCTTGAAAGGAAGATTTGAGCTTGAAATAGATACTTAGCATCATCAATCTAGGTGTTCACATCCAAAGCAATAGTAAATTCACTAGATATTACCAGACTTGAATATTTTGCTGAATTGGGACTGTTTCTTCAATGTTCATAAACTGGGAACTATTAGGACCCTTAACACTTCAAGGAAGGCTTCTAGACCTCTATCTATTCCACTATCTATTCACTTCTCTTACACTCAACAAACGTCTTCCTTCTTCACAAAGAAAACGGAAGCTATTATGGGTAGCTCCCACAAATTCCTGTCTCTACATCAACAAACTAAACACTATCAAAACCCAGTCTTCTATCTTCCCCCCCTTATCAGAGATTGGCCTTCATCCCCTATCTGGGCAGTGACTCTATTTGTACTCTAAATATCATCTTTCTCTTCTCCTTAGGATGCTTTTGTCAACCATTAGGCAGGCTGCCTCCTACCTCTTCAACTTCTCCCTTTATATCTATTTTCCTTTTTTCCAAATTTTATTTTTAAATGAAGTGTATTGGCATATAACATTAGATTCAGGTATGTAACAGTGATTTGACATTTATATGCATTATGAAATGCTCACCACAATAAGAGTAGTTACCATCTGTCACCGTATAAAGTTATTACAATATTATTGACTATATTCCATATGCTGTACTTTTCATTCTGATAACTTATTTATTTTATAACTGGAAATATCCTCTTAAAACCCTTCACCTATTTCTCCCATTCCCCTGCCTCCTTTCCCCTTGGGCAACCATCAGTTTGTTCTCTGTATTTATGAGTCTGTTTCTGGGTTTGTTTGCTTGCTAATTTGTTTCATTTTTTAGGTTCCACATGTAAGTGAAAGCATATGGTATTTGTCTTTCTCTGACTTATTTCAATTAGCATAATACCCTCTAGATCCTTCCATGTTATAGTGAATTACAAGATTTCATTATTTTTCTATGGCAGAATAATATTCCATTATATGTCTTTATGATATCTTCTTTATTCATTCATCTATTGGTGGACAGTTGGGTTGCTTCTATATCTTGGCTATTATAAACAATGCTGCATAAACATATGAGTGGATATATCTTTTTAAGTTTGTGTTTTCATTTCTTTAGACAAATAGCCAGAAGTGGAATTACTGGATCATACAGTATATATATTTTTAATTTTTGAGGAACCTCCATACCCTTTTCCATAGTGACTGCACCAGTTCACATTCCTACAGGGTATGAAGGTTCCCTTTTCTCCACCTCCTCACCAACACTTGCTGTTTCTTGTCTTTTTGATACTACCTTTCTGACTGGTATGAGATGATTTTGATTTGCCTTTCCCTGATGATTAGCGATATTAAGCATCTTTTCAGTTGTCTGTTGGGCATCTGGAAAATGCCTATTCAGGTCCTCTGCCCTTTTCTTTTTTTTATTAAGGTATCATTGATATACACTCTTATGAAGGTTTCACAAGAAAAACAATGTGGTTATTACATTCATCCCTATTATTGAGTCCCCCCCATACCCCATTGCAGTCGCTGTCCATCAGTGTAGTAAGATGCTGCAGAGTCCCTATTTGTCTTCTCTGAGCTACACTGTCTTCCCCGTGACCCTCCACACACCATGTGCACCAATCATGATACCCCACAATCCCTTTCTCCCTCCCTCTCCACACACCCTCCCCTTTGGCAACCACTAGTCCCTTCTCAGAGTCTGAGTCTGCGGCTATTTTGCTCCTTCAGCCCTGCTTCGTTGTTATACTCCACAATGAGGGAAATCATTTGGTATTTGTCTTTGTCTGCCTGACTTATTTCACTGAGCATAATACCCTCTAGCTCCATCCATGTTGTTGCAAATGGTAGGATTTCTTTCTTTCTTATGGTTGAATAGTATTCCATTGTGTATGTATGTACCACATCTTCTTTATCCAGTCATCTATTGATCTCTGCCCATTTTTTAATAATATTATCTTTGTTTTTGTTTTTGTGTTGTATTGTATGAGTCTTTAGATATTTTGGATATTAACCCCTTGTCAGATACATCATTTGCAAAAACCTTCTCCCATTCAGTAGGTTGCCTTGTGGCTTTGCTGGTTTCCTTCACTGCGCAAAAGCTTTTTAGTTTGATGTAGTCCCTATCATTTATTTTTGCTTTTGTTTCCTCCCCTAGGGACACATATTCAGAAAAAAATTTGCTAAGGGTCCAGATAAGACTATATTTTGCCAGATGTGTCTCTGCAGCAGTCTTACCAATGTAATAACAGAAGAACGAATTTGTGTAACTTGTATAGCAGAGGCCTGGTGTCATCTACTCTCTCTTTCTCTTCCTATGATGTAGAACACAACCTGCCAGGACCCATCTTTGGTTACACAGATGGGAACTGCCTCAGGATGGTGGAGCAGTAAAGTACGTGGTCCTTGAATGATCTCCTGGAACTGCTATACCAACTTGCACCACAGACATGGGGCTTAAATTAAGAAAGAAATAAAAGTCTATATTCTGCAAACCACTGTACTATTGGATCTTTGTTAAAGCAGCTTAGCCTTTCCACTAATACATTGACCCATTATATCATACTATAGTTCTTGATTGTTATGAGGAAAATACTAAGTTATATGAACTCAAGAATGGGATTCACATTTTTCTGTTTAAAAGCAATTTCATTGGCCAACTTTTTTGGAGATATTTCAACCACAAAATTAGCACATATAGCTCATATGCTTTGATCTTTTAAATGAACTGAATTTGGATCTGCAGAGAAAGAGTAACAGTATATTTCAAGATGTTGAATATATCCAACAGTTACAAAATACATTTTAAGTAATCACCATAGTTGCTCTATGTCCTCAACATTTTGCAACACAGGAAGAGAACACTATTAATGAAGACACTTTGAATGGAATAAAGATATTAATGATATTGCAAGTCCCTGTCTCAAACTTCAAACCTTTTTTAAAAAATTTAAATATCAAGGAAAAGCACGTGGATAAAAGATTCATTTGTTTTTCAAAATCCTGAATCTCTATTTGAGGTAAGAGTGATGCCCAAAGTGGAAAACTCTATGTTATTTAAATACATTGAAGATAGATTATAACTTTATAGCCATTCTAGATTATGATTAAGAAAGAACTTGCTGAAATTTGTTATTTCAGTTGCTCAGTAGAGTATCTTGTTATTAATAGCAACCAGGGCAACCTAATGTGTGAATCAGAGTTTTTAAGCCACATAACTAAAAACAGTGGGAAGAAATAGGCATCAAAGTATAAAGCACCTGGGTCCTGCATCTAGCACTGTCCTCATGTCTCCAGCCTGGGGGGCGAAGAGCAGGCAAGCATGCCTACAACACTGAAATAAAATCATACGTATTAGTAATTCCACTATCTTTAACAATGAGTATTGTTTTATAAACAAAACTTTGTTCAGGTTTTTTATATATCCATACATATATCCTATTCTGGGTGGCACAGCAAATAGTATTTTCTACTGTGAGTTGATTGTGGAAAAAAGTGCTCTAACTATTCTACTCTCATTTTTCCTCACAGCCAACATCTTGAGTGGGTTGTTCATACATGTGTTTCTACCCGCTCTTGATCCACTGCAAGCATGCTCTGCCCTCATTCTTCTGAGAAAGGCTTCCTAACTAAACTCTTACACCCAGTTGATCCTTTCTTGTATTTATCTTTGTCCTCTCTGTGGCCATTTGTGACCTGAACACTACTTTTATTTACTCTTTCTACCACCTTAAAAAAAAATAACACTTTGCAATTATAGAAGTAAAAATGTTTAAGGAAAAAATAAACTCACTTACAACCCGATCAGAGATAAACACTTAATATTTCATGTTTACTTTCCAGTTATATATATGTATTTTTAATGTACATTCACATCAAATATTTAAATAATCAGAGTGAGGTCATTTAGTGCATAGAAGTACATAGCATTTTACAACCTTATTTCCTTTAACTATATAATAGAAATCATTTTTCATGTCATTCAATATTCCCCTCCCACATTATTTTTAAAGGCTGTATAGTTTTATGGATACATATATCATGGATAATTTATCCATTTCTCTATCATTGGACATTTAGATGGTGATCAATTTTTCAGAAATAATTGAATGACACATTGAAAGCCTTGTAGAAAAATCTTTATCCACTTTCATAATCACCTGCTTAAGATGAGTTCCTGGAAGTGGGATTGCTGGGTCAGAGCCATCTCTGTGCTGTATATACATCCAGAATCCCTCTAGGAATGTGGTTATTAGTTACCCTTCCACCATGCTGGACATTCCACCTCTCATGACATGAGAGGAACCAATTGGCTAGCTCCTTACAAGGAGCTAGTATTTTAAACACAAGGTAAATAGTATTTTAAATCTCTTAGCCAATGTGATTGATTTTAAAACTGAATTTTATTTCAAGTTGTGATCTTTGATTATTAAGTGCTCAAAATTTTTTTCAAGGTTATAAATCATTGTATTTGCTGTGTGAACTGACTTCACATTCATTGCCTATTTTTTTCAGAATGTGCATCTGTTATTCAATACCTTGTAAAAGCTTTTTTAAAAAGTTATTCAAACTTTAAATCACTAAAATCAGATTTTTTTCTAGTTTGTAGCTTAAGTAAATTTTTTAAATTAAAAATACAATAAATACTCTTTAAAAGAGTAGGAAACTTGAAGGAACAAAACAGCAGCAGAATCACAGATCCCAAGAATGAACTAACAGGTACCAAAGGGAAAGGGACCCGGGAGGATGGGTGGGTAGGGA